CTGGTGTCATTCCTGACATTTCGGTGACTGTGTTTGACAAGGATTTGAGATCAATCACGGTAACATCCACATTATCCAATACCGTTGAAGCCGTTGTCATCAACAAATCCTTGAAGCCCACAGTTCTATCATCTACAGATCCTAAACAGTATGATTTAATCCCTGGAGCCTGGATCACCCACGACCTTAGCACTTACCGCTAGCTAGACGCTAGTGGCCAAACTCCATAGCTTGGGTGCAATGCCTAAAGGTACCACCATGAATTGGATTACAGACTTTTAAAAGACAGACAACAAAGGGTTAGGCTTGGTGGGGACTGTCACTCAGACCGGATGAGTGTTTTTGCGGCGGTCCCCTTGGGGAACTTGGCCCGGGCCATGGCTATTTCTCAGCTATTTCTCGCCATGATGAATCATCTTAAGGTCCAGGATATAAGACACTTACGGGGAAATTTGGTGAGGACAACGCCATTTGAGCTGATTCCACCATACAGTCACAGTGATATTCAACAAGCTATCAACCACATCAGCATTTAATCCTGGCAAAATCTTTATCAAATGAATTCATCAAGTAAAAAGAAATGCTGACCCGTTTAACGAGGACTCCTGCTGATTATGCTCCTGACTATACTCTATTCCCAAGAAACCACAACTACTCAGCTGCGAAGCGATTCTTGTTTTGGTGACCGTTTGGTAATTCTAAATGATGATATAATACTTTCAGAGGATCAGAAAAAGGGATTGTGCAGAAATTCTTGAAACATTTTGGACTGTTGGGCATTTTGTTTCTTTAAGACCCTTCCCGGCTGCTGGACATGTAGACACAGCGTATAGTTTTATACTGTATTTCAGTTTTACAAATTTTTACTTCATGAACGATTTATCTAATTTATCTTATAAAAAGTGAGTAAAACAAAAAATATTCCAAGTAGTCCAAAAATCACGGTGCAAGATATTTTTAACACTTAATCCGTTGCGTTTCCTTATTCCAGAATACGATCAATAGAACGCTGCCGAAGTTGTCACCGTATTCTCTCTACTCTCCACGTATCATCTGGTGGTGAGTTTCACGTGCGCTCGCGTACTATCCCTGAGGAAACTAAGGGACAACTCATAGTCCAACATCCTTCCCGCCATGATAATTTTGTCCGGAAATGGAGTAGTGATTTGGGAAGTTTCGGTTGTGATTCAAACGAATACATGCAGTCAAACCTGCATTAAACAGTAACCGCCTGACCGCGGACAGGTTTGATAAACCTACAAGTGAATCAAGATAATAAAGATGGTGACAAAACCGAGAAAGGGAGTTTACGCAATAACGACGACAACGGCAGTGAAACGTCAGCGCGATTTTCTTTCAACCCATTTAACTTCGCTTTCTGAAAGGTGTAGGTGACTTTCTCTAGGTATAAATTATTTTACACCGCATTCAAGATGGATAAAGACAAGAAAACGGTTGGCTCTCTATCTAGTGGGGATTTCGAATGAAATGATTTCTTGATAAAACAGGGGCGTGGCAAAACACGTGATGTAGTTATAAACAATTTTTCAAAAAAAAATTCGAAGATGTCTTAGTTATGATTGGCATGTTAAAAGATGTGGTGAAGAATTCTAGTTGCCACTTGGGCCCTTAATGAACAGAATTTGGGCACTATAGTGTGGAAATGTTAGGCTGAGGGGGATATTGGAGGGGGGGCAGTGGGAGAGAACTGGTGCTATGGAAGTAGGCTATGTTCAAATCCTAACCTGCCCTTTGAAAAACACATTTCTGCTTCCCCACTAAAAACATCCCTTCTGGTATGCTAGCATGAATCGAATTCATGCATGTGCCCCAATTTCCCTTCATGAAAGTTATTAACTGGCTCTCCCCCTCTTTATAATGACAAGTCTCTAACCTTGAATAAAGGGCTGTTACTTTTTGGTGTTTTCAGTCAGTGGTAAAGAAGTCATGTCAAATTTTGGACATCATCTTTCTAGGACTTCTAGGAAGAATGGCTATGTTTTCTGTACAATAAATAATTTTAGGGGATTCTAGATAATATCTAAAAGAACACACTATACAGAAAATAATCTGTACAATGAACAGCTGCATGTGCACATATATATGGCCTGAGATGACATCATTAGGGAAATAAACAAAAATAATAGGACATGCAAGAGACTTTCAATTCCCTGCTTGCAGCCATTCCCTCCTGTCCCAGTGAGCACTCAAAGTCAATGAGAATATGGTTGCTGGATATTGTTTCTTTGAAGTAGTTTTCGCTTGTTTTTTTTTTTCTTTTACAATGCATAACCTTCAGCAGAATCTAATATTCTTCAGCATGGGCTATCTACTTTGAAATGAAAAATCAATGTTGTTTTTCAATGTCTTAATTTAATTATTAAAGCCTATAGCGCTAGTATCTATACTCCTCTCTTACACAAAGTTTTGTTTTTCTGGGGAGTTCCATTCTCTGATTTAACAATGGGGAACATTCTAATGTCAAGGTACACAGAACAAGGCATTTAAAAAAACTTAGCAAAAAAGCAAGCTCCCTATGGCTGCTCACTGTAAAGGAAAAGGGCAAGGGAAAAAATGGAAGCTCATGCATGACTTTTGAATTCCCCAAATGGAGAGCAAATTTATAGCATGTTCCTAATGAATGAAAAAAAGGTAATAGTCGCTTGCATACTAAAATGCATGTTTGAGTATGAGTGAACTTAATTGTTTCTCTGTGTAATCTTTGCTAGAAAAAGTGCTGTGTATTACTCAAGTACAGTTGTAGTGACCCACAATTAGTTGCGTAAGATACAGACAGCCAAGATTTGAAATCGAAGTTGCATGAGTAAGGGTTGGAGAGGAGTTCTGCCTCAAATTATGTCAAAGAAGTCAAAACAGTCCCTGTATCATTCAATGTAAGCTTATTGGAACAATGAAACACCCTTTAAGCATAACTAATCAAGAAATGCCATAAGACAAATGTTGCAGAATTGTGTTAATTGGTGTGGGGTAGAATGCAAATCAAATAAACAATAAACCAAACAGCTTATAATTTGGTATAATTACACATGAATCTGAGAACACCTTATAGGTTTTCTTTTTCTAGTTTTGATATTTTAGACTATAACATGTATGCATTGTTTGACATTGCATCAAATGGATAAATAAAACAGTTACATTATACGGTATTACAATAATAAATGAAAGAATTATTATTGTCTTCAGTTGTAATATTGAAGTAAAATCATGAAAATAATGTTGTAGCTTGTGCACATTAACTATTACCTTAAGGCTTCAGCTACATTGTAGCATGAGTATAAGGCCAGGTTATCTCAAAGTGAAAACCCGTGAGCCTGAGAAGTAACATGTTTAAAGCTTGAAACCCAAAAAACCCGACAAATCAAAACAATGCACACAACAAAAATAATATGGCCAAAGCAAAGGAAAACATTTAATACAGGCTTTCACACTCGTCTGAGAATGAACCAAGAAAAATGTCTTAGAACATAATTGCTCTTTAATCTATCTTGGGAATTCTAAAAGTGAGTGTTTCTGTCTTGGGACCCAAAATAATATTCTGATAGGACGAAAAGACAATCAAGGAATTATCAAAGTGCAAACAACTGACAACTGGAATCCGTGATACACCTCCAACAGCGTGATACACCTTCAACAGCAGTCACGAAAATGTTTTAGCCCTGCTGTCAAAAGGCCATAAATTTTACAAAATATAAGCTTACTAGCTAAAGGTCCAAAAGCAAGCTGAAATTAAAAGACTAACCATGACAAAGATCATGCAGTGACGATGTGAATTTGACTTGTGAACATGCGAATAACGACTGCAGTTCTCCAAATTCACCGTTAGTTTGTAATCTTATCTCTTTTATGCAGGGTGCTTCTATGTTTAACAAACTGCTTCATTCCAATATGTCCCTTGGTATTGAAAAAATGATATCCAAACGACTATGAAATAACTTCCACTTTAGCGTTTCAACGATTTCTCGCACTGTGCAGCTAGTTCCCAATTCCCCGCTCGGTTGTAAGCCCTGTAAGCGGCTTACACGAAAGCTTACGCTGAAAACCTGTCCGTAAATCGTGCCTCATGTGGAATAATAAGTTCGCTTTGTTGTAGCTCTCTACTCAGCTCTAGTTACAGTGCAAAATAAAACATGGCAACATACATAGCTCTACATATGATCGTTTTTTATCTTTTGATACTTTTCGATTGAAATCGAACTCTAACACCAAAGGTCGATCAAAATCGATAATCCATGGCCAAAAATTCCGGACGTGGCGCCCGCGAAACGGCAGCGGCTATCTCATATCTCCGAAACAAACATGGCGATTAGGTTTACAAAGAAATGTATGGAGCGAAAAAATATAATTGAGGATAGAATAATTTCTGGCGTACCTGTAACATTTCCCAAGTTGGAATCCGTTAGAAGAAACAACCGTGATCCCATGTTGTGAATGTCAAATCTACACCAAACCGTTAACACCGTCCTTTTTTAGTGCGATTTTAGCGCTACTCCCGCTCTCTTTAGCCTTCTATTTTACGCGGAAAATTCCAGAAGTAGCAGTCTTCCATTGCAGCTGGCCATGTTTCCGTGGGATGGATTAATTTTGCCAAGTTCATTCCTCAAAGTCCAAATCATGTTCCACAAACACAGCGATTTTCAGGTCGATTGATAACGATTAACAGCGTCCTTTTTGGCGATGAAAACACACAGTAACACATAAATATAAAACTGCAAAAGCAGAATCACTCAACCGTGAAGTTGCGAAAATGAGCTCATGGTAGCTCGATTTTTTACGCGAAAAACTCACTTCTTCATGGCGTTCGCCAGCTTCGTTGGGTCGCCATTTTGATATCAAAATAAAGCTTTAAACCAGGCCTTCAGACTCCGTTGAGAAGTGGGGAGAGTGGTTAAACAATCAGGTTGGTCACCGTTGTAAAGGGCGGGAATTTTGCACGCGTACGTTTACGTTCTAGTTTTGGATTTCGTTACCACAAAAAAAAAATGTCGGACCGGTTAGAGGGTTATGATCTCAATAAGTTCAAACAAAACATTTCTTTATCAACTGAACATTGCCTGAATTACGTGAAACAAGATTGTATTGATGGAGATAACATTGCTTTTACGGTTAACATTCCGAACGAGCACCTTAGAAGTTGGCGTGACCTTCGAGAGGAGTGGGGCTTGTTGTGTCAATTCTCCTACGTGGAAATTTTGAATGCCATGATTGACGAATACGGCGTTAAAATTAAGGAAGACTGCGCAAGAATTGATGGTTTACTACAAAGAAGCAGCGGCACTGTCAAAAGCAACTGCCGGAAGCTCCAGGGTCGTGCCAGACTTCAGTATCTGAGTAACATTAGAAAAATTGCTATTCGTCAAGATGAATTAATTAACGTGGGACTCATAGAAGAAGAACTAAATATAACCAAAGAAAATGCAAGAGGGTTACTAAAAGAAAATGAGCAGCTGCAAAAGCGTTGCGAAGAACTATACACGGAACTTCAAAGTGCACTTCAGACCAAGAAGGAGGTTGAAAACAAACTGGATGATGTTGAAAATAACTATGAAACAATTTTAAGCAAAAACAAGGACCTGAGAGAATATATTGACAGAATGCCAATAGTAAAGAACAGTGGCAAAGTGGTTTCTGAAGTTGGAGAAAGGCAGCAACGAAGAAAACTAAAAGAGCTAAAAACTCAAGTGGAACGAACTTTGTGGTTTGCAGAAACCTATGGCTTAAGTCTAGATTCAGTAAGCCTTACTGACCAGAAGGAAGTCACCCACACCTTAACATTTAGCAGGGATGACAAGAAACAATTCAAAGATCTCCCTGAAGAGGAAAAGGATAAAATAAAACAAATCCTTATCATCCAGGACAAATTTTCCATAGGGGACGCAGCCTACCATGAACTGACCATGACACAGACAGGGGAGGCACTGCCCAGGTCATACTTAATAAGGCAGTGCAAAGAGTCATTGAATGGACTTATTCACATTGAGCGGACACCAGGGAAAGCGGAAGGTGCCCAACTAAATTTCCGGGATGAGCTCTGTAGCACAATCCATGAACATGTAAGTACTAAAAGTTTTTTTTAAGTTTTAAATGATTACTAAAAATAACTATAATAAATGTAACTATAATAACTACTAATCATTTCTTTTCTAATTCACAAAGATGAGGAAACATGCTACAACAGATGAAATGGACCAGCCTCTAAAATATAAAGTAAAGCTGAGTGGGGATGGTGCCAAAATGACACGGCTTACAGGCTTTGTTGTTATGTCATTCTCACTTCTGGATGATGAAGATGCTGTAATGTCTTCAAAAGGTTAGTTCAAAACACTTGAAAAGAGAAATATATATATTTATCATCAAATTCTCATAAATTTATGTTACTTTTTTTCTAGTTTGTTAATTAAGTCAAAATATACATGAAAAAAATTATTGTGCATATGCATCAATTGGACGCTGGTTATTTTTAATTTACATATGTACACCAGGGAATCACACTGTGGCAGTAATTAAAGGAAAAGAATCCTATGAACTTCTGCAAACATCATGTGCCAGGATCTTTGCTGATGTGAACAGGATTGTGAAAGATGGAAAAATAGAGGTGGATGGAAAAGAGATAGCAATTGAAATGCACCTTGGAGGAGACTACAAGGTAACCTTTTTTGGAGGTAGGGGATAACCTGTTAGCCCACCTTCCATTACCCATGCCTCCAATGTTTAACTTGACTTATGATAAAAATGTATGTTATATTTTTTCCAGTTTCTGTTACTTGTACTAGGATTGAAGGGAGCAACATCAGATTATGCCTGCATCTGGTGTACAATTCACAAAAATGTAAGGTAATAATAACTATCAATGTAATAATATTAAAATAATGATTATAGTTTTCTTCCACATAACTGACAGACTTCTATTAACCAAATTACAGGCATGACATGACCAAGCCCATGAACCACTACTGGGAGAATGGTAAAAGAACAATAGACGAGATGAAGAGATGTTCTCTAAAGCAACAGTTTTGCTGTGAGCACCCACCTCTGCTAGACATTCCTTTAGAGAATGTTGTGCTGGATGAGCTCCATTTGATGCTGAGGGTTACAGGTGAGATATAAATATGCTTATCATTCAACTAAGCACTGCCATTAGGACTCAACTCTATCTTTCTTTTATTATTAAACAGATAAGCTAACAAAGAATCTTGTGACAGAGGCAATAAGCAGGGACAAAAAAAACAACTTGATTATGGCCCCTCGTGATCGAACAATAACCCATCTTGATAGCCTTGTAAAAGTCATTTGTAGCTGTGGTGTATCCTTCAGTGTCTGGGAAAAACAGAATGCCGATGGGAAAGGGAGTGGACTCTACGACTTCACTAGTCTGATGGGCACAGACAAAAAGTTACTACTGGAAAAGCTACCAGCCAAGCTGGATGGCATCATTAGCCGAGCTACAAGTACCACAGTAATAAAGCTCTGGCAGGTATATTTGTGAACATCAAATGTAATATTTGAAGTCGGCATATTTTTTAGAAAGATAATACATCAAATATAAAATTAAAATCATTCTGTTAACCAGGAGTAAAACTATATATTTTCTTAAAAGATTGACAATGCATAACGTTTCATTTACTTAGGACTTTAATGACATCTACAAAAAAGACCTTCATATAAAGAACCCCACAGATGAAGATATCGACAACTATTTTGCCAAGGTAGATATATATGGTGTTTTGTACCACCTATGGCATAGAATTAATTGTTTCTCCAATTTAACTGATTGTTTGTTTTCTATAGGTTACAGCTTGGGTGAATCTTTTTCAATCTCTTGGTGGGAAGTTGGAGGGGTATGGTAAAGCCAAAGTAACACCATACATTCACTGCATGGTTTACCATATCCCCTACTTCATGGCAAAGCACAAAGGCATGAAAAAATTCTCTGGACAAGGTATACAATTTTGAACTGTTTTAAATAAAATGAAACCCAAATCATTGCCAACTACATCTATACCATCACTATACCATCCCTTTCTCCCAGTTATAATGATTTTTCTTAAAATGTATATTGTAGGTGTTGAGAAGCTAAATGATGACTGCCGCAGGATCCACTTGCAACAGTCAAATAAGTGGGATGCTGCCAAAGATGTGCTGATGGTCGGGAAGCGGATCAAGATGCTGGGGGAATTTGAAAGAACCAAACGGCAGTACAAAAAGGCAGACAACAATTATTGGGCTGGGGGAATAACTGAAAGTCGTGCAAAGCGTCCCCGTTTCAGCAATGATGAAGAAAGTCAAGAAAGTCGTGTGGATGAAATTGATAGGCTGACCCCTGAGATGATCAAAGCTAGGCTGACGGACTTAGGTTTCAAAACACGGGCAAAAAAATTAAAGAGATTACAGGAAATCTACAGAGCAGCTTTACAATCTGTGTCAAATGAGCAAACATGATTTTATAGTCTGGCATTACAATATTAGGCAAGGCACATGGAATTATAAGCCTTCAAGCCCCAATAGTAGTAAGCTACAACTATAAGAAAATATGTACGGGGGACCACAGTGGAGAATTTGTACAATTAAATTTTAAAGTTCACTGTACTTGGTCTAGCATGTTTGACCACTATGGCACAAAATTCAAAATTCATTGGTATAAGAAATATGAGACTGAGATTAATTTTTCCCTTGATGAGTGATTTTTTAACAGTTGAAATACATTACAATATTTATAATTATTTATGGATTTATGGAATGAAACTAATCTTTCAAGGCCCAAGAGTAGTTAAACTGCAACTATAAGAAATGTATGGGAACACAGTAGAACATTTGTACATTAAAGGGTGAATTTCACTGTACTTCATCAAGGTTGTCAATGTCACATGCCCGCTTGATCAGTGTGATACATAACTTCTCCATCGGGAATGGAGAGGCCTGGACAAGCTTGCCTCCTTTCCTGTAGTGGTGAGCAGGGGACCACGTCAGGACAGGCTTAATCTTCAGTGGAAAATCCACTGCTTTCCCTTCTCCATGCATGTCTTAATAGTACCACCAGTACATCGGCAATGTAGTAAATCTAACAAAGTCATTTTTACAATACAAAACATGTCCTCTATGTTGTGAAGCTGTCCCTTTCTTGTAAGAAAGGAACCTCCACACATCCAGATGCATGTGCACATAAAATGGAGACACCGAAGAACTCTTAAATGCTGAGAGGATTGCCGTTGAAAAGTTGTGAGCTGCTTCTTGCAGTCTCTCTTCACTTGGCTTGAATGGTTTTTCATAGCTCCTAAGAAATTAAATAAATAAAAAAATAAAAATAATAACCTTTTTGTGCTTCTAAAACTTCATGTAAAGCTTTTACAAGTTAAATCTCTAAATGCAGATTTCCCTAATATTGAATAATAAAAGAATGCTGGCAAAGATTTATTAAAATTAATGTTTATGTTGCTGATAATAAAAAACAAATAACTTTAACATGTATTCTTACCTAATTAAGGCCTCAGTTAGGTTTTCTGACGGCTCCCACGAACAGTCTTGCAGCGGCCAGCCTTTCCATTTTATTAAGTATTCATGGTCCCGTTATGCAAATAATAAAAAGGCAAGATAGACAAGGTAATTTATTCAAAAAAATAAATAATCTAGTGGATGACCCCAAAAGAAAACAATATCGGCAAAATAAATATGTGTTAGACAGGAAAAAGAAACCCGTTGAAGATGACTGACAAAATAAACCCGTCTTAAGACAGGAAAAATCAAATAAACCCTTGTAAGACTAGGAAAAATAAACACGTGTAAGACCGGCAAAATAAACCCGTCTAAGGCAGGAAAAAGAAAACCCATTGAAGACGACCGATAAAATAAACCTGTCTAAAACAGGAAAATAAACCCGTGTAAGAGCGGCAAAACAAACCCGTCGAAGACCAGCAAAAGAAACCCATGTAAGACCGATTCTAGCGAAATGGCCCTTCAAAAGTTCGTGAAATAAATAGTATAAAGAAAAACTTACATATCTTGTCTTTCGACGCTCAATGATTCTCTCGACGTCGTACAGTTTCCCCCTAGATTTCTTGAACGAGGTGTCGTATAAAACAACCGAAGAGAGAGAATGCAGCTGTGTGTAGTCGACTGGAAGTGAACGCTTTTTGCTCGCCATGGATTTCGCCATGTTTGTTTCTCTATTATTATGGAGAAAGCCGCATACCGCTTCGCGGGCTCAAATTCCGCCATTTTGTCCGGAATTTCTGGCCATGACAAGAAATTTTGTGATCGACTTTTATTGATTTCCGATAATTGTTGATTAATTAGTATCGACTTTTATTGCCAACGATAGATTTTTATCGACTATCGAAATTATCGGCATGTCATGCCCTGATCGCTTAAAGCAAAAACTCTACAGTGATCTGGAACAGGCGCTTTCCTCTCGACAGTGATCACTGTAGGTTGTTTTCAATTATAACTTACTCACTTTCAACTTTTTCCGTGTTTGTAAAGACCATTTATCCGCTCCTATTTCCTCCAACGGGTCTACCATCTTGTTGAGTGCTTCAAAGCCTTCAGCACTGTCAGTGGCCGTGTTATTAAGCCCTTTTTAGAGACTTCCTTTGAGACGCTCCTTGGACTTCCAAAATTCGCCACATAGTGGCACTACTCAGTGGGGTAAAGTTTTTTTGCAGAAATCAAGATACTAGTTGATGATGGTACATCTTGCAACAGTATGCACTAAGTTTGGCATCACCATTTCTTCACCACATTCAAGTTTTGGTTCTCGGCTCCCAAATGCCACATCCTGATAGAAGTATGGGCGCGATGTAAATTCCATAAAATGATCGAACTTGCCACTGTCTAGTCGGAGACGATGTTGTGGTATCTTAGTCAATGGGTTAAGAGATCCTTGTGAAGAGCTTGCTTTTTTTATTTGTTGACCACTGAGATTTTCAAAAGGTCTATGAATGGCTTTCAATTCCGTTGCTGTAAACCTGTTAACATAAATGCAAAGGATCTGTGTTTTAAGTGCTTTAGATAGAGCCTTTTTATAAGCAGTAACAAGAACCTCTAAGCCAGTGTCCCTAGCAATGCGAACATTTTGCTGTTGCTGAACGACTTGAGGTGCTATTACATGGCACACCAACTGACAAGCCTCTTTAGCTGTGCGTACATGTTTCGCTTTCCATTTCACTGCAATCCTCCGAAAATTCTGACTTTACTTACCAGCACCCTGTGCAAGATTCGACAATGAAGAATTGAAAACGTCAAGAACCCTACTGTTTAGTCTTGCAAGACATTCACTCTCAGATTCACTGTCTTGAAAGTCATGTCCAGCACCAAAACCATGAGTCCTTTCTGTGTCTGTCTTACTGGGAATGCCTTGAAATGCAAGGTGTTGATTGAGTATCATCAAGTATGGAAAAAGCGGCTGTAGCAACCACTTCAGAAGCCCTTACAAACAAACACAGGAAAAGTTAAGAATAATCTGGCCTCTCTCTCCCTCACCATCACTGCCACTCTTTTCTTGCTCGCCATCACTTTCAGGAAAGAGGACATTTTCCTTCGTTTGGAGAGAGAGATTCATGAAAATGCAGTGCTACTTGATGGAATACGAAAAAATCAAACAACAAGAACAAAAATGGTCATTTTAAAATAACCTCTGGCCCTGTAGCCTCTCACTCCATCTCCTTCAGTGTTCACAGTTAACATAACCTTAGGATTGAGTTAATACCTGGCGAGCGGAGAACTTCTAGTGTCTATGCTTTTTTCATTCTTCACAGCTTCATCAAAACGCCGAAGGGAGTGCTCCACAGGAGCGTTGTGAAAGGTCCTGCCTGCAGTTGCTGCAAATTACTAGAATGAGAGAAATACTAGCAGTTTGTATCGAATGAAAATTTAGTCTAACAGTTAACAAAAACACAAATGAGTACCAACTTCTTCTCGATTAATTCCAAAGCACAAATAAAGTGCTGTGGATTGATATACTGTCCTTAATTCTACGACTGCTTAGTTATAGCGGTTACAGCACACTTGCCTGCTCCATTTCTTTGGCAACATATCTATCAGAACAGTGGAGCTCCACGCACATGCAAAGCGAGCACATGCGGAGCCCCATAGCTAAGTAAATTTATCCATCCGAGAAAATTTGGTAATCACGTGACTGACACCGCTCGAACGACTGATCGTCCGTCTGCACCACAGGCAACCCAAATGCAACGGAAAAAAATCCCATGGCTGTCCAGACTTTTAGAGAGAAAAAAAAACAAAGTCGTGCCTTTGGTCTGGTTACTGGCATGGTCTCCTCTATTTCTAGTGTTTTCCTAAGGACTGGTGATGCTTTGAAAATATCATCTTGCTGAGTTTAGCAGAAACTGGCAATTCGAAAATGCCTGCTCTTGTTAGACTAAGTTCATGCTCTGTTAACCTTTCCCGAGATAAGTGGCACGAGTTCAAATGGCTTGAAATGTTGTCGGTACAATCTTCGAGGCAAACATATTCTGTTACACCTTTCGAAGTACCACATGTTCCTTTATACTTCGATAAAGTGGACAAAAAGGACGCTAAGTCCATCTTTGATAATTTAGGGTAACTCACATAACAAAATCAACAAACTCCTGATTTCCTGCACTAATAAAATTAGTTTCTTTTTAGTGCTTATGTCCTTGATTTTGTTGCTTCTACCTTTTACGCAAACTGTAACCAAATACAGTTTGTACAGTTTGATCAATCGGGCTGTTGCGCACTAATTTAGAATAGAATTTATATTTGACGCGTACAGTCCCAAAAAAATAATTATTTAGAATAGCACCTGTCGAGTGAGTGAATTGAAATTGGGATGAAAAGCAAAAAAAACTCAAACCTTTTCAAAATAGTACACGGATGCAAACACCAGTCTTATTAAGTAACTACAGTCGTAAAAAAAAATAAAAATAAAGGACACTTGTTCCAGTATCCAAAACAATGATACCCTTGAAATCTTGCATTGCGTGACACTTCTGTTTGCATTTTTTAGATTTTAAATTTCCTTTGGTATTGCCTTCTCTTTGTTCATTTGTAAAATAAATTCGTTTGGGCGAAATTAAAAGGCTGCACTTTGCTTTTAACTGTACTTTTTGCACCAGGCTGTTGAATTTTCGAGGATTAGCATGAACGTTCAAGTTAAACTGTCAAATCGAAAACTGACTGTGATGATGAATAAATCTGATTTTGGCGGACAATGTTACATTTTTTTTTTCATGTGACCAACGTAAAGTTCTGGTGAATATCCTTAAAAGAAGTAGGTTTATCGTTAACATTATTAATTAAAATTGATCCTAATTGAGCGTTATACAGGTAGCGTTGGCTCTACGAAAGAAACACTTTTTACCCAGAGAAGTGCTGAATTCGTGCACCAAAAGCAGTAATTGCCACCTATATAAGTACAAAAGCAGCCCTGCATCATTCACCCGGTCGAAATGGAATCTTTTGTTTTTGCTAAGCAATATGTTATTGCATAAGAATTCCCAACAAACCTCTAAAATACAAAATACGGTGATAAACTATTTTGTCTGTGATGCTAAATTCGACTTGCATGAAGGCTGTTCCATGTGTATTGTAAACAATGATGGCCAAAATGGACAAAATTTGTCGCCCTACTGTGCTAAAAGTTCGCTGAATCACAATGCATTTTTGTTTCCCTGTTTTTGAACACTCATTTCATTGGTCTAAATAGATATTTTGTTTAGAATAAGTGGGAATTTTTCACAGTGCCAGGATAAAAATATGCATTTTTGAGCCCTTTCTCACCCACGGCAAAGTGGATGTAAATCGAAATAATTTATTAAATATGAGTTGCTTTTGAAGGATCAAAATTGTGTGCTTTACATCTTTGAAGAACCCATCTAAACCTTGGAAGTGAAGAAAATCGTTGAAAGTGAAAAAATTTGAAGTAGTAAACTCGGCAATACGTGCTATATTTACTCCTCGGCACTGAAGTGATTTGAATAAGCATCTCGCACCTTTACTGTCAATGTAGTCATGTAAGTATCCTTTGAGTGTTTCACTATTTAGGTTGGACTCTTGAAGAAGAGCTTTCAACTTTCAGGGGTTATCTTTGTATTATTTTCATGCAACTCAAATGAAGGCTTGCAAATAGAGCTGTGAAGCAATTACGTCACGTTTCAATCAAAATGGCGAAGCTATCTGTCGCATCACTGCTTTCTTTCTTCTCAGACGAAAAGAAATACCTGGTACTGAAAAAGAAGAAAATCACCTTAACTCTCATCATGTGGAAGCATTTAGTTACCAGCAAGGCGTTTTACGAGGAAAAGTGCATGCAAGAAGTAGGTTTAGAGAGTCAGACGAGTTAGCGAGGTAAGCTACCCAGGCCTAAGACCGATATGGTCAAGAAATCATGCTCATACAAGTCAATTATTCAGTAGAATGCCCTGGAAAACCAAATGAGATCAATTCACGACATTAATGCTTTTAAAAAGGCACTCAAGTGTATTTTTAAGCCACATATATTATAATGATGTAGTGTATTTGATAATGGGATGATTCCTTCGAGAGCCTGACCAGGAACGTTTGCACAATGCTGCCAAAATGGAATCATGATATTCACAAACCAGCGAATCAATGCAGTCAGTGGATACGAACGCTTGTATACAGTTTTGGAACAGAAAAGCTGAAGAAATTTGTCACTCCCCCAGCTATGCCAAATGGCCCAAGAACACAATAACTGCGGTGATTGTCACAGAGTGGTCAGTTAAGAAAACCACCCTGCTTTTTAATCACGCCACGCGTCTCATGGATCAGGAGCCAGAAGGAGACAATAAGCGCAAACAAAAAGTGGACATTGTTCACCAGGGCCCTGTGGTTCAAAACCCCAATTAGTGCTTAGCGCTAACAAGATGGACACAGTGTGCCCTTCCAACCTAAAAACAAATGTATTCACTACAGACGCAGTTGATAATACTGAGCACAACAATTTGTCTACAATGAAAAAGTATCCAAAAATGCACAAAAATGTTTGTTGTACAAAATATCTCACATTAAAAATAATGACAAATGTACTCTCAAAACCCAGATGCTGCCCCTCTCCTGGCATATTACAAGTGGTACCATTCTGTCAATGTACCTCATATGCCTTGCGCGCATTTCAGGAGTGACTTAAGCCAACAACTGTTTTATGTCCCGAATAAGCTCCTCCTTTGTCTTGGGTTTCACATGCTTTCTCACATACCATTTCATTGTGCCCCAAGAGTCCTCTATTGGGTTAAGATCCTGTAAGAAACAAATGTTTTACACACTTAATTATGAATGCTTACAAATCAAAATAACATCACTGAAAAATATGGATATAAAAGAAAGCATTATTTTCCAAGGCCTATATGGGACATTCACTCATGGTGCCCAATCATGGTTTTTGTCAAAGTAAACAGACCCTTTCAATAAATAATTTGGGTACATATCACCGTGTCCAATCATAAGGTTGTTTAACAAAATGTGTTTTCCTGTATGCATGCACTTTTCTTTAATACTTGAACTAGCCTCTCCCCGTTTTTCCCCTCTCTCACTTGTTCCACTCTTAACCAGGACAGTAATGCCTGCAGAGGAGGCTATGCCAGAACTTGCTACGCAAACTCAGAGCTCGCTGTTACCCAAAAACACAACAACAATCATCATCAAGCAAGTAGTTATAGTTTTTCAGTTTCTAACTAAACACAAAAGGTACAACTGCAAAAGTATCCGTATGGAGAGATTTCGGTTTCACTTCATTCATTACATCTTACAATAACATAGTGTTCCTAAAACAGCGAGCGTGAATCGAGTTTGAGAGTCTTAAAGGGTGCAAATGATTTGGCATCACTAACTGACGTTGTTTAGTACATGGCAATAGACACGGCTTACTTTGAACGAAGCAAAGCTTCCATAAACCTTTACATACCAGTAATTTGGGAGGTGTCTGCGCCACCAATTAATTTCATTCATCTCGACCAATGTTAAAGTTGTTTGACTTGTGTGTTTAGGATTGAAATCCTGCATAAAAGTGTCCTGTTGGATATTTTTCACAAAGAAACAGCAACAAATTACAGGAAAGAATATATCTCTACAAAAGATTCCTCAGAAAAGATAACATCACTGAAATTCTCACCGTCATTCAAAATTTGTAAACAGTGTTCCATTAACTTTAGTTTGTTTACATCTTTGAAATGTTAACAATTCTTTGTTCTGCGCCAGGTCCACACGAATTTTTTTTGTAATCGCCACACAGAGCGTGCTAAAACTTCAATGTTGCAGGGTTCCAGAAAAATTGTTGCAAGCTCTTGTGAAGAGCGTTACAACCTCCCTTCATTGGATTCTATAAAATGCAAACAGAACGCCAAACAGAATGAAACAAGAATGCGTTCAATGCATTCTCTGTTAGGTTAATTCTGTACAGTACTGTAGCTCCCCAGATAAGGACCTTGGTAGGCTATGGAAACTTTCTGAAATGACCCTTTTTTTAAAATGCCACCGGTAGACTCTTACAGTTATCTCCACTAAGGGAAATGCGATCCATTCTGGAGCAATATTTGCCAGACAACATAAAGCAAACTTCAATGACCTACTGACGCTTGCCTTTGAGATTCACATTGTGTCTCCAATAACCTTCAAGAAACTTCCGATGACTAGTATTGGAGTGCTGCCAAAACCTGAAGGCCATTATCTCAAGTTAAGATGCAGATGCAATGGTTTGCCAATTTGTTCAAGATTCTAATAGAAGTGATTGCAGAAATGTATTTTCCAACTGCAAATATGAAATATTTGACATATCCCTAGCTATAGATACAGTATTTCCTTGTAATAGTGGGGGGGCCATTATTTCTTTTTAATGCCTAAAGGAGGCGATTATTCGAGGGAAGGCAATTATTCAAGGGAGGTGATTATTTCAAATATTTCTCAGTGGAGGTCGTGCCCTAAATATTTTCTTTTATTACACCATTAAATGAAAAAGTAATCATTAAATAAACTGAACATTTTACATGTTTCAAATTTGTTTCATTGATTAATCAATGTTCAATGTCAGTATCCTTGGTGTCAACTTCTCCAACTCGGCATGACAAGGTCAATCAGCCTTACAGCAATGGATGTTGTCTCAAGTGCCATCAGTAGGACTGGTCAATGCACATGACTTAAATGATCTGTTTCTCAGTTCTGGATCCAACTGGACACACCCATGTAAAATCCACTCCACCACGTTCTTTCTGGGAGGTGGCTTAGGATTTCTGGCTGGTGTTAAGTCATTAACAGACTTAGCAAGCCATTTGTCATACTTCTCTGCTACCGCTGCTTTGGATGGCTTGTTCCCGGAAACATTGGGTGCATGAATATGCTTTATACAACCTCCTGGAACCACAACTGGATCCACATTGAATGCCTTCAACTTATCTCTTACAGAATCAGAAATACGGCAGCGAAAACTGACGCAGCTTAGCAGTCTTCATGCAAATGCAAGACGACCAACAACAGAATCAATCCACTCTTCTGTCAAGCCCCATGTAACCTTGCTCTCTTTTTTCATTTATCCAGAGCAGACGCTCATCTTCTAGGTCAGTGTACTTTGGTTTGCGACCTCTATGGTGGCCTAAGACTGCCATAACAAAAAACCCAGTTCCTTAACAAGTTTCTTGTAAATTTATGTTTTGTTTGTTTTTTTGGGTGTATTGGTTTATTTTTAGTTTAATGTTAGTTTTTTTTTTGTTTAATCACAGAAATATTTTAACTTAAAATAAAAAGTAAATTAATTCAGAAATTATTTTCAATGAAAAGAAAATATCTCAAGAACAGAATAAAAACGAAATGATTTTAAAATGAATTTATTTCGAACGAAAACAAAAGTTTATGTATCAAAAAAATTGAAACTAATTTTTAAAAAATATATTTGAAAAGAAAGGCATTGTAAACTAAATTAAAAGCAAAATTGTCCATGGCCTATCGTTGCCATAGCAAAAAAAAAAAAAAAAAAAAAAAAAAAAGGCGTGTGGCCTATCGTTGCCATAGACCAGAATGCATTTCGGTGCATCTGTTTCCAAGAATGGCTGCCGGAGGTCAAACTTGGAGTACGCTTAAAGATAAAATGAAGGAGCTGCGCCAAGGGAAGAGAGCCGAGGATTCTAGTAAGGCAGCCAAAAAGCTTGAGACCTTAGTTGTACAGCGCCTTAGCGCAGAGGTTTTGGGAAAAGCACAGAAATACTCTAGAGTTGGTGCGCGCGAGTTCGTGTCCTTCAAAGACTTCGACGAAATCTCCATCAGCAACATCAAGAGAGCTTGCATGAAGCACTTCGGTATGTTGGAAACAATGTCATGCGATGTACTCGCAGGGGAGCAAGGGCCATCTTGTTACTCGCTAAAACAGTTACCAAACTTGAAAGTAATCCACGTGCGATTCATTGAGGGTAAAGTCCAAGACGCTCCAGTTGAAGTTCTCTGTGAGCGGCGGAAGAGAAAGATCGCCGACATTTCCGAGGGTGATAATGCTGAACATGCGAAGGCTGCCGTTGCTGTGGCATCGCTACCACAATGGGTGTCATCACAAAGCCCTAGCAAGTTTGTTCTGCGGAGCCTGTCTGTGGTTGACATGCTAAGATTGGGAAAGCTCATCCCAAATACCACAACCTCTGTTGAGATGTTCAATTTTGACCTGTCGGTAATGGCGTGGACCGGAAGACCAATTGCTGTGGAGTTTTCTATTGAATCCCAGCCATTTGGAACAGGTGGATTTCGGAAGGCCTTTAAAGCGACTTCTAATGACAGAGGATTCCAAGGCTCTACGTGGGTGGTGAAGAGATATCTAGAAAAGGCTTCGGAAGATATCATTGCCATTGGACAGACACTGGAAGAACATACAAAGAAGGTAGAGCAAATGCACTACCTAGCACGGAATTTCGCAGCTAAACTGAAAGAAGAGCTTATAGCAAGCGATTATGAAATCCTTTTTGGGGAGACCATGAGTTACAAGAAGATACATGGGAACAATTGA